TTTTTTTTTTTTCGAGGACCATATAGTTACACAGAAATAAAGCTCAAGAGAGTGCTGTGTCATTGCTAAAGGTTTTCGTATAAAGCCGGAAAACTCATCATACATTAATTTTTCTTTCGAATTTTTTTGTTAAGAGTTACAAATGTGAAAAATTCCATATTGGTTAAAAATCTTTAAAACAACGGATAATGCCTAGTTGCTAAGCATAACATGGTGAAGTATATAAGCTTTATTTTTCAGACAAAATTTGACAATTAAGTTCTTTTTTACAAGTACTTGTGGCTAAGTGCAAGCTAGTGAAGACAGAACCTGACTTTCCTTTCGACATTATTATCTTTTTTTTGAAGGTAATTTAAGCCGAAATAGTTATTTGTGTCTCCTCCATTGAGTAACAAAAATACACGTTGTAACAATTAACATTAATGGTCCTTTTCAAAGAAATGGTCCTTACAAATTAGAACAAGACCAATCTCTCTCAAGTTAGATTAGTCAAAGCCTATCTATTTCAATCTCACAACTTGTACCCACTTATATTATTCCCATTGAATCTCCTAAAATTTGTTCTTTCAATCTCATGTTATGCAGTACAAAATAACACCAATCCTTCTATGGAAAATGTAAATGGAGTTGAAAAAATGATTTCTTTTTTACATCACTTGCTTGTATGAGAAACTCTGTTACTCTATATATCGCCATCACAACAAGGTCTTTAAACCGAAATAAAAAGGAATCGATTTCTCGCCTTATATCTGGAACAAACGGAGTATGAAGGAACAAAAACAGAAACTCGATTAAATTCACAATGCTATGCCTAATTCAAGAACCATACCTATACGACAAACAGTTTACCTTCAAACTATGTAATATATGCAAAGTGTGATGTACATTCCTTCTTTCTAGCTATTATTTCGCAGCAGCTTTTTTTTTCTTCTGTTGCTTCACATCGATTGGGATGATGAATACTGAATCCACACAGATTCCGCCTTTCGAATGTGTGCAATCGATCTGTTTCATCGACCATCGGACTTCGGTTGATGGTTCTGAGCAACCCACAACGAATTCTCCAACCTTATAGTCTCTCCAGAACTCTCCTCCACCGATTCCCTCTCCTTCTTTATCAGCCAAGTAATATTCACATGACGCCTCTTGCCCGTCTGAAGTCGAGAGTGAAAACCGTACAGGCTTTAACTCCCATCCGTGCATGTGCTCGAAATGGCAAACTCGTCTTCCCAACCTTTTCGAGAATCTTCCTAGGTGTATTCTGAATGATAGACAGTATATACCAGGAGGAAGATTGAATCTCACCATCCCATCTACTTCAAACCACCAAATCTGCTGTAAGTAGGCCACAACATGGAACCTGTCAAGGCAAAAAAAAGAATCAAAGAATGTCTTATTGCTCATCAACCGCATCACCAGTCTTATGTTTTCAATTCACATTTAACCTACATCAGTCATATTCCTTCTATTCAACTCCAAATGGATTTCATATTCTTTGTTGCAGAAACTTCAAATTGATTTTTTTCATTAGCCTAACCATTCCACAAGTCTTGATAGACCATCACAATAACTATTAA